CTTTTCGTTGGTCATTAATCAGTCAATCAATCAATCAGTCCGGATATAGTGTTTTGTATACATAGACAGCTGTACATACATATAGTTTATTCTAATTCGTATTGTTGAAAATGACATTTGTGCGTGTTTGAGTTTGTTCAGAAGACGACTCTTGAATTATTAGTTAATTAAATGGCAGCCAATAAATAATTGACCGTGGCGGCGGCACACTTTCAGGGGCTGTCGCACAGACACAATGCCACTTTAATTAAAGGGTGCGTCGTTTTAGGAAAAATGTCATTTAAATATTTAAAAAATATATAGTGGAACGCACTGGTGGTTGGCCATTGTCATTGACACTGACATTGCGCACGACTTGGACGCTTCGCGGCCGGAACAATGACGTTAATGACAGTGACGAGTGGCTGTGCGCCTCTAGGCACGCACATGCATCGAATACAAGCAAGTAAACAAACAAACAAACAGATAAAATGTACGCAGCAGCTAAGGCTAAGGCAATAGGCAGGACACGGCACACGCACACACAGACAGCAAAAAACAATCAAATGACACGGGCGTGCAAAATGTTGCAGGCGGCTTAGCTAAGTGTGTGTATGTGTGGGGGTGTGTGTGCGTGAGGCTTGCACTTGCTAACACCCGCTCACACACTCACGCATGCAGCAGGCAGATTAACAAACACCAATACAGACAAACGTCAACAAATGGCGCCTGATTGCATGGAAAGGCAACTGAAACAGCAGCAGGACAAAAAACGACAACCAGTTTGTCTGCGTGTTTGCATTTCTAGTCCGTCTGTCTGTCTGTCAGTCAGTCTCTCTCACCATCTCCCTCTCGCTGTACGACAAACATTCAACATTTTGCCGCCATTAAAATCAAATTGCGCTTTCGTGCACGATCCTGGCTGGCATAACCAAGCAGCCAGCACCCAGCGCGCTCTGCCGTTTCGGCAATTTCGACTATTTCAGCATTTTTATACCCTAAAACCATTAAAAATGGTTGTCAGGGTATAATGTTTTTGGACAATTATATGTAACAATCAGAGAGAAGCATTCTCGAGCCTATAAAGTCAATGCATATTTAATCAGATTGCCGGAGTGAGTCGGTCTCTTCATGCTCGTTTGTCTGTCTGGGATCTCAGAAGCTGGAGATGGGAAATTCGAAAGATATATTCTTCTATACAATATGCAGATCGATATGTACTCTTCGGTATATACATAGGTTTTAAGAAATGTTTTTTTATTCATAGCTGGAAAAGATTTTTTCTTGGCATTTAGAAGGAATCTGGAATCATTCTAGGTATCTCTTGGTCGGGCACTCCCGATTGAAGCACTCGTACTTGTTTTATGATTAATAAAAGCAAATGTAAATAGTCCCAAAAACCAGCTAGCGTAATGAAAGCGAATGTGCCGCCGCTGCTCAGTCCAATTCTCTGCTGTTGCTGCTGCTGCTGCTGCACTTAATTTCAGGTCGACCTTCACACGGTGCAGGGTGGCTTGAATTTGGCTGGTTCGGTTTGCAGTTGGCTGGCAACCACCTTCGCTCCCTCCATCTGTGCACCCATCAGCATCGTGCAGCACTTTCGTTTAATTTCTATTAGCGCTGCCGCGACGGCTGTCATTGCTGTGGCACGCGGCGCAGGTTACTGAGGTTACCATTGCCATGTCCACGAGGGTGGGCGCAGCAGAGGTAACATGGCATAGCCAGCGGTTGGTGGGCGCAGGGTAGCGGGCACAGCAGACTGCCTGCTGATGATTGTTTGTATTTCTCATGGCACTCGATGTCAGTCAAAATCGTTTCCATTTTCCCAATGCGTCTGGCTTTACGATTGACAATTTCGTACCAGAGGCAGCGAAACAGTTTTGAACTGTCAAAAAAAAAAGAGATCCCATAACTGAATTAGAGATGTCCGTGCCTCTGGAACGAGCATGTTTTCGAAGAAATAGAACTCGGATTTTGCCTCGATTAATATGGAAATATTATAAAGGGCTAAAAATGAAATTAAGCAAAGCAAAGAATGATTTTAGGTGCTGTATTTGCTTGATTTAAGTTACATGATTATTACCAATTAACAAAGCTTTCGGTAAGCTTAAATGCAAATAAAAGCAAATTAAGAATATCCTTTTTGTTTTTATTTTCCTTAAGATCCAATATTTCACAACATTCGCCGAATCCTAATTGTGGCTATCCTCCAAACGTTTACCTAAAGACGTCTACATAAATCGTAAACCTTCCAAAATATATCTTAAGGTTCCCTACGCATATTGTATAGATATTTTATTGCCTATTCGTCAGTTGCTCAGCTTCTCAAGCATCCGTCGGCGAAAAGTATGCAGCAATTTATTCCATTTCCTGATTACCCCCTTGCTTATTGTGGGAGCGCATCTGAGAGCCATGTCAGCCGTTGGCGGCGCCGGTTCCCACTCATTTTGTTCTGTTTGTTGTTTGTTTTACAACGTTTTTAACTTGTTTGCAAGGATTAGGTAAGCAACTCAAACACAACAACGTCGAGCACGACTTCGACGTTGGCGTTGGATGAATAGCAGCCAAATGCAAACTCATAAAAAAAAGGCGAAGCTGAACCTGAACCTGGTATCGTCGTCGCCTTTGGCAGTGGGCTGGTCTGCTCCCTTTGGCTGGTCCCGAAGGGTAACCTGCAGCATTTGGCGTTGCCAACATTAAATGCATCGAATTACATTTTCTATTAACCAGCGCGGGCACGGAGCCCAAGGATGCGAATGCGGGTGAGCTTGAACCGGTCTGCTGACTTTGACGTTGCCATTGGGCAACGGCGGGTATCGCCCAGCTGGAGCAAGAGCAGCCGCTGCTTGTGGACGTTCCAGGTCGCTGCGGGTCGCTGGCTACTTTGTGGCTCTAGCTGTGTACGTTGTGTTGTATATGTGGGTGTGCCCTCGGCAAATGTTGCTCGTTTGTTTGCTGTTTGTTTTGCAATTCATTTTTTAACGCTTTTTCGCTGTGATTCCTTCGGCCGCTGCCTCCTGTCGTCGCTGTTGTCGTTGCCGTGGCTGACATTGTTGTGCGGCGCCTTGAAATTGCAGTGCCAGTGCCCTGCTCCTGGCCCTGTTTCTGTTTCTGTTCCTGTTCTTGCTCCTGTGACTTACGTAGCCGCCTCCGCCTTGCGCCTTGCCTTGATTACATAAGTTTTTTGCTGCGCTTTGGCCAAGAAGCCGCCGGCTGCACACGGTCTGCAGCCAGTCTGTACCGTCACAGCGTCAGTGTCCCGTGTTTTGTTTGGCTGTGTGTTGTTAGAGTTATGAAAACTTTTGTCCTTGTTTTTTGGAATAAGCCTTCTTCCTCCACGTATTTGCCGGCTCTTTAAGCGCACATTAATCAAAGTTTTTTTCTCCCCCGTGTTAGTCTAAGTTTGAGGGCATTTATAAGGCAATTGTTGAGCTTGTTTTTGTGCGCTCCAGTGCACAGGACAGGTGCGGGTTCCAAGCGAATCCATGCAGGGTGCCGTGCTGTGAATGCGCTGGCTCTGCTGTCTGGGCAATCGTCTGAGTTCCCTTGATGGAACAAATTAAAGCCTTATGCTTTTCGTTGTCGCACAAAGCGGCCACAAATTGTCTTGGCTTCCAAACACACACACACACACACATACACAAACACACACACACACACATACACAAACACACACACACACACATACACTTACAGAAAAATTCCAATGCACAAAATTTAAGCCGAAATGCAGCAAACGCCAAATGCCAAAACTTTGTTAACTTGCGGTCAGCTGAACAGACAGTTTGCTGATGCTCCTGCTGCTGCTGGCCTTCGTCTGATCTGGAGTCAAGTCCAAGCGCGCCATGAGTAGCAAAAGTATGCGGAAACTTATTGGGCTGTCTGAAAGTTATTACACTGCAAATAAAGCTGGGCTCTCGAAACAAACAATAAACGAACACAATTAAAACAAATGCTATATGCCTATTTTATAGAGATTGAGGAAACATACAGCTGTCATTAATTCTGAGAACTCCATATTGTATGTGAATCGGTTTTAATAATTGAGACACTACTGTATTAGAATAGCTTTTAGCTTCTTAAGAACTCGCTGCAGCTTGATTTTTCTATCGAATTTTTTCGCATTTAAGAAAAATAATAAAGTTTAAGTTTTCATGCAAGTGCACACACACACAGCTACTGCTGGCTATCGTCTAATTGTCTTTGAGTGTCTGCCCTGCAGCTCGGGCCGTCTGCGTGACTGTCTGAGTGACTTATGTCTGGCCTTAAGAGAACTTTTTGCAGCCTATACAAATGCAGCATTGAAATTGTGCTGAAATTTCCACAAGGCAACACGCGAAGCCACAATGTAAAGAAGGCAGGAAAAAAAAATTGAAGGAAAACATTTAGCCAGAGTCTGGGCACACACACACACACACACAGACATACAAAGTATTTCTACTGCAATTACAAGCATATGCATAAATAATAATGCACGAAAATGCTTTAAGTGCAAGTGTGTCTGGGTCTGGGTCTCGGTCTGTTTCTGAGTTTGGGTCTGGTTTGGGGCCGAGTCTGGCTGTTGGGCCAGCCTGGCTGCCAACGGTTCCTGTCTGCCGTCTCTAGTGTCCTGTCTGCTCCTGGCTGGCTCAACTGGCAACAGTCTCGTCTCGCCGGCTCTCTGCTTAAATCGAGACTGCATTTAACTCCGCCGCTGCGGGGGTGTCAGCAACAGAGGCAGCCGCTGCTCTTCAGTTTGAATGTGTCTGCAGTTACCCTTGAAAATTGTGTGGATTGCATTTGTTATTGTTGTTGTTGTTGTTGTCGTCGGACGCATAGCGTTGCACGTTGCACGTTGCACGCTGCATGCACTAAATGAGTTCAATACTCTTGGCCGAAGACTCGTAAACATAAACAAAACTGGGAAATATACAGGGATATTATGCGCTCTCCAGGCGCATGCGCTCTAGCCATTACTCTCCCTCTCTCTCTATCTCTCTCACACACAAACTAATTCTCTCTCTCTCTCTGTCTCATTGCAGCACAGGTGTCAGGAATAGCCGAGCCATCGAGCCGAGCTGTCAGTTCGTGTCGTATCGTTCGTCGTGCTGTGTGTTTATTTAACACAGTTACTCGTGCTTTGGCCACTCAGTTCGTATTTGCAGCTCGTGCCGTGCGTTCGTCCTTCACACATACGCACACACACATTGTGAATCCTCAAGTTTTCGCGTATATCGCGGCGAACATGTGAAAACAGTCGAGCACTTCCGATCAGATCATAACTTTTTCCTGGCTCAATGGTAAACGCCGTGCTCAAAACGTGTTCGTCGATTTTGCATCAATTTAGTTGGCATTGCGATTGAATCCTTTTTTGTCGCCTGATCGCACACGTGTGCGTATCTCTGTGTGTCTGTGAGTGCCACCTGTTTTTAGTTACATAGCCCCAGAGCGCGCCACAGGACCAGGCATGTTGTGCTCGATGGCCAAGTTGCGGCGGAGCCTGCTCAGCGCTGCTTGGCTGCTTGTGCTCGGCGCGCAAATAATTTATGTGGATTATGCTCGGGCGGATTATGAGAACACTTGGAATTTATATTACGAGCCACCTTGTTGCACGGGCGCAGCAGCTGTTGGCCATCACCTGCGGCATCACAAAGGTAAGTCCCGCCGCATTTTGCCATAAATCATTCTCGGCATATTTTATATTACTGGTTTTTAGTTTTAAGTAAGTGCAGCAGCTGCTGTCAAATATGTAACTTAATTTATCAACCTTCAGGCCCGTAAACTTATTGGTCATATGAAGCCAACCCACATGCGTCTTATCTATTTCACGCAATCTGGCTAAACTAAATGGGCCGCCTCCCACAAAAAAATTGTTGAGCAGCTAAGCCATGCATACAAATCTTAACACAACAATAGGCGGCCAAAGCAAATCGAAGCGTGGTAAATAAGTCAACAGCTTAGGGCTTAGACAGCCGCGAATGGCCAGCAGGACAGCCGCTTAGCCATTTTTGTACACATGCACGAGATTCCACTCTCTTCCCGTTTTTTTCGGCTAAGGAATAATTTTCACTTTAAGCGGATTTGCTTTTGTTGCCGCCCACGTCTGCAGTCGCCGTCGTCGTCGCCGTCGCAGTCGGAGTTGCTGCTTTCATTGATTTGCCATTTCGTTTCACTTCCGGCGACCGTTATCCTTTCGCAGGACTCGTATTGCTTTTGTATCTGGCCATTGTTTTATTTGCTTGGCAAAGACGTTGCTGCGGAATCGACTCCAACTTATAGACTCATTCGCGCCAACACAGCAGCCTGTGTTGCCTCAGCCCTCAGCTTGGGTGAAATTAAAAAGTTTTGCGTTTTCCACAGTCTTTCTTTTATTCTTTTCTGTTTTATTTCATTTTTTTTTTGCTTTGTTTTTTTTTTTTTTTGTTTTGTTTGGTTTAATTGCAGGCTGCGACTGGGCGACTGGCCAGTCCGACTTGCTGGCATTTACGCCACTTGAAGCTGCCTTTGCGCAGCTTTTTGTTGTTTGCTATTAGTGTTTAATTAGTTTTCAAGTGGTGTTTTTATAGACTTAAAGTGGGCTTATGGCTGGCCAGATTTGTTGCCCGATATGTGGGTAAGCGCCTCTTGGACACATACATACATACATTCATGTGTGTGTGTGTGTGGCCCACATTTTGCCTGTTGAATAATTAAAAGTCATTTGGCTAAATCAAACATGAAAATTACCACAGAAGTGCATCAAAAATGCAGCTCACATTAAGTAATCCGCTTTAATTTACTCGCATTCACATCCATTTATCGCCCACCCATACACACAAACACACACACACATACGAGCACAGAGCTTCATTCAGCGTCACCCGCTCATCCGCTTACAGTGCGCCGCAAAAGTTTGCTGCCTGTTGAAAGACAGCAACTGCTATTGCGACAGCTACTGCTGCTGCTCTCGCTTTGTCGCTTAGTTCATTTGCAGAGCAGTAAATAAAAAGTTGTGCGCAAAAGTTTTAATTTTTATGTTAACACACATGTGGAATTATGACAGTTGCGCCATGTTTTGTGGCACACGACTTTCCTGCTGACCAAATCGCCGCCAGTTGCTATTATTTTCGCTTGCAGCTGTGTTGTCAGTGCTTTGGGGCTTGTCGCTGCAGCACAGCCCCAGCGCAATAACGAACCATGTACAACAACAACTGGACAAAGCGAAATATTTAATTCAAATTATAAACCATAACTGCATTCATGTTTGTACAATTACCCGCCGTTCATTGTTTGCAACTGCTCCGCAAGCTTAATGCACTTCAATACAATGTGGGTTTTATTACGGTTCCTAGTTAGTTTATTGTTGTTGGATAAAAATTCCTCTTAGGAATTGTCACTCTCGCTAGGTGGGATATAATTAGCTTACTTTTTCATTTTATAAATTTTTATTGAAATGGATTTTACTTTATTTTTGTAGTTGAGCATTTAATATGTCAATTAAAAAGAAGTCAGCTCCTAAAATCTTTTCAGCCAATACGATTTAATGTATTTTTTTTTTTTTTGATGTTTTCAGTTTCATAATTTGAAAATTTCGTTTCCGTTCCCAATCTAGGTGGTATTATATCACACTCATAATATAATTTCTTTGCCATTTAACTTTGCCTATAAAAGTCGACTAAAATTTGAAAGGTATTTTCAAAAATTGTTTATACCAAAAATGGGTTTGAAAATATTAGAAATATAAATTAAAAAGTAATTCATAAAATTATGTATAGAAATTATAAACTTAGCTTTTTTCGTAAGCCATAAATTATTCATAGTTAAAAAGTAAAGGCATTTGCCATGCAATTATTTAGATGATTTCTAAACCGCAAAGAGGATGATGACTTTAATATGCCTTATATATAAATTTAAAATAGATATATAGCCCTTTTGGAGCTCTGACTCATATGTCTAAAGGAATGGGATTTATAATTAATTAATTGGCTATTAGTTGAGTGACAAAACCTTTACGATATTAAAGAGAAATATTAGGAGTTTGCATTTTGAAACCCGAGTACAAAGAGCCAATGGAAACCGAGAAAACCGCAGCCACTTAAACAATTAATGCAATCAAATCAAAGACAAAGCGCAATTGTTCTAAGATGGTTTTGTGGGCGCGCTGCGTGGTTCGGATGATGTGCTTGCTATGCAAATAGAGGAATGGAGAAATAGGGTGCTAACCCTTTACCCAGCCCCAACATAAAGCAAGCAGCGAGTACAAATTTTAAGCACCAAAGTTTTCCGGGACACCCACAAAAAGTAAAAATAAAACGAAACTTAATAAAGGTATGCAACGGCTAAAGTAAGCAACAAAAAAAAAAAAAAAAGAAGGAATGAAAAAAGCCAAAAAAATAACACAAACAAAGGCGAAGAGCAAAAGCAAAGTAGAAAGTAGCATATCAGATGTTTGTGTTGTTAATTAAAGAAAAACAAGCAAAAGTTTAATGGCGAATATTAGCGAGAGTTCCTCTAACCCTCTACCCGTTGGCGAGCTGGAAAACCAAATGCCAGGCCGAACTTGCGGCCGTTGCGTAAATAGAAACAACATCTACAAAAAAAAAAAAAAAAAAAAAAAAAGAGAAAATACTCGGCCAAAAAAGGGTGTAAAAATACACAAAAACTTGCTACACTTTGGCCAACAACGTTCGGCCCTCATTTCGTGCACGCACGCAAGCCCCAAAGAAATAAAAAATATAAAAAGCAAAAAACCAAAAAAGAAAATGAAGAAAACAGAAAACTGAAACTGCGCACAAATGTTTTGCTTGTAAACTTAAAGAATTTGGGGCATTTAGCGCTGCCCATTTTACAAAGCAGCTCGACAAACTTTTCCTGGCAAAGTTTGGCGCCAGGTAAGTATGTGGGTAGCCCTCGACCGGCCGGGTAAATTAGCCAGACAGACACAGAAAGGTGGGACGGGCGAGCGGAGGCGCGTCCATGCTGCAGCCCAGCAATTAAGCAACAATTTTCAGCTGTAATCGCAATGCCAAGCATCTGGCAGACCAGCGCCAAAGTCGAAGAAAAAATAAATAAAGTTTTGGTCCGTCTCCCATAAATCCATCAGCAAATTTACGAAATTGAATTGATAGAGCTTTTGGCTTTGTCGTATATCGCAGCATCAATTATTAAGGCATAATAAAGTTGATGTGCGGCAAACAATTTGAAGGCAAAGCAAAATGCTTACATGTATACACACGCACACACTCTCACACACACACGCGCGCATAGCCACATACCCACATTTGCCAACAACAACAATAACAACAACAAAACAGCGACAACGACAAATAATCTTGAGTCAGGTATTTGTTGATGTGCACACATTCCCACACACACGCAAACACATTCTTAAACAGCACACACACACATTGATTGTGCGATGCGGCGTATACGCAATTTACTGGCCGCCCCTTAAAGTAGGCGACGTGAATTTAACAAAAGCTGACAAATTGTCACACCGACGCACATAAAATCAATACATTGAGCAAACTGACGTCAAATAAGAAGAATAAGTAGAAGAGGACGTGGGTTGGCCTGTTGCTCATTTTATGGGATTTGTGCCAAAAATAAAAACATGGTTAATCCTTACCGAAGAATTCCCAGGCCTAAGCGGTTTTACTCGCCTTGCTCGCATTTCAGCTGGCTTTTTGGCAGCCTTGTTACCGGCCGAAATTCGCATAAGCCATAATTTACGGCATACACTGTTGACCCAATTTCGTAGGGTAACGCGTTGTCTGCGTTACGCGAAACAACTTCATTAGGCAGCTGCAGCTGCAGCTCGGTTGCCTTTGCACTCGGCGTGGGCAAGTTGCAAATGCCATAATTCAACTTATGTGTAACGTTTGGCCAAACAGTCGAAAGCCGCAAGTACAAATACTTGTCAGATACACACACACGCTCTCGCACACACGCACACACACACGGCGCGTTGGCCGCAAAGTGTAATATATCTTGATACACACACACACACCAACACACACACAGATACTTGTACATGCTGCTTAGCATCACATGTGGCATACATTTTGGTGCACCGCAGCGACTGGTAATACATTCTCTTTCTCCCGTTAAGTGTGTGTATGTGCGTGTGTGTGCGCATGTATTGACACCTACCAACACAACGACAACGAGACACAGCAGGAGTCTTTGGGCTTGTCGCTTCTCATTTAAAGGCGGCTCCAGTTAATGACTACAAATTAATTAAACCAAAAATGTCTTTGCCACTAAATTTTATTATACAAGTTATTGTAGTGTTTTTCCGCTGTTGGTTTTGTTATTTTACTCCACAATGTAATGAACAGCCAGACTGTTTTTAAACAAAGATATTTTATTAATAATTAACTTAACTTGATTATACCTGAATGAGATGGGTTTGTTCGGATCACTATATCATATATAAGCAGACATTGGAGTTTTACTTTAATATACTTGTAGAGGAATTGTGTAACACTTAGAAGGTCAACTTTCAGAATAAAGTATATATATTTTTGATCTTTTAATGCTGGTTTTGGCGATCTTTCTATTTTATAAATTTTAGCTTAGCTGGCTCGAGGTCTAATCTGTATTAACAGTCGTGTCCATATAGCCATGCCCGTCATTCCATCTGCTTCTATGTTCTTTCCTGTCAAAGATAACT